TTTTTTTTTTAAGTTCTTTCTTTTAACAAAATGGTTTTTGTTTCTACCTTTTTAAACTATTTGACTAACAAAAAATTAAATACCAAAAAATTTCTTATTTTTGTTATATATTTAATATATAGTTCCTTTAATTATTTCACTAAATACTTTCTTCCAATCAAATAATTGTTGAGGTGAGAAAAAGATTATATCTGAAGATTCTCCATCAACCGTAAATATTGCTTTATTGTTTCTTTCACTTTGCATTACACCAATTAATTCCATCTTAGTCACATCAAACACTTGATTTATTTTATAACCTTTATCCATTTTTGTGAGGAATATAAGATTATTATCAACTAAAACCATTGTAACCCAATATAATCCATGATACCTCAACAACACTTTCTCAAACTTCTTAACAGTAGCATTATATTCATTACTTATTTTCTTTAATGAAACTGAAAGGTAATTAATATTGACATTTTCAATGATAGTTTTCATTGCTCCTTGTCCTACACTCATTTTTTCTTTACAATTTTTTATGAGTTGAATATATGGAGAATATTTGTGGGTGTATATAAGAATATCAAAATAGTCATGAAGCATTCTAATATGTTGATATACAATTGCCATCACATCAAATACCTGCATTCCTTCTTTTTCATATGCATCAACTAATTCAGCTATTTTTATTGGATATTCAAATGTATTTCTATCTTGTGCATTGATAAAGATTGCATATGTTTTATACAAAGCATTACTTGATAATCCATCCAAGTATTTTTCTAAAAATGTATCAAACTTTGAACCAACAGGAATATTTTCTTGAATTTGACCAATAATTGCTTGAATTTTTTCAATGACATTAAAATATGTTTGTTTTTCTGATGTACTGCATATTTCACTTGATGGATCAATTAATCCACTAACAAACTGGTCAATAATATTCAAATATTTTTGTTCTGATTTAAAGACATATGTTTCTGTGTTTTTCTTAATAATAGTATTTAATTGATGAGAGTAGAATTCTTCCAAATCTTGCATTTCAATCCCACTCATTTGAATAATCTCTATTCTTGGTTTAGGTAATACTTCGTTACAATGTTCTACTGATTCTGACACATTCAAGTACATGTCCAAATTTAGTGTTTCAACATTGTCAAATCGTAAACTACTAATATCAAAGTCTTTGTTATATTGTTGAACAAAGAAATTTTGTTTAGTTTTTAAAACAACAATTCGGTTATTAATCAATTTCCCTTCTTGACTTGTTTCGTCAATGTGTTGTAATCTGTATTTATAAACATTAATTACTCTTCCTAAAAATTCATGTGCTTCATATTGTTCTTGAGAATTAGGTTCATTAATTGAATTTATACGATTGCGATATGTTTTGATTCTTGTTATAATTGTAGTACCAGGCTCTTTCACACGATCAACAACTTGGTTTTTCAAAATGTCTTCAATAGTCTCATCGAGTTTAAATAATATGAATTCTTCTAGTATCTTTTCATTTGTACTGATATTCAATAATGTATTCATTATCACAATAACCACTTTTTGTTCTAATGACTCTGGGTATTTCTGAAGAATTTTTCTGATATATGACACTAATCCTATTCCTGTAAATTCCTCAATATATTTATGGTTTTCAGTCATTGATTGTATCAATAATATAATTGAAGTGATTGTTTTGATGTCTTGTTCAGCTAATAACGGTATCACCAAAGGAAGAACTCCACTTTTAATTATATCTTCTTGTACCTCTTCTGCATATGATAAATGGACAATAAATTTAATGAATGCTGTCTTCATTTCTAATGAACCATATGTAAGAATGGAATATCCATGTTTTAGTATGTCATTGTCAATAGCTTCTTTGGCAATTGTAACTCTGGAAGAATCATCACATCCTTTAAACAAGGCAGTAAGTACTTCAATGAGTGACATTTTCTCATTAGAGTTAGGAGTAAATAAAGCTAAGTTGATGTATTTCATACATTTAAATTGAATAAAACAATTTGAAGTTTCTTTTGTTGTTAGAATCCTTTTTAATAATTGAACACTAAGAGAGATGTATTGAGTTGTAGTTAATTTACATAAAGGCTCAATAAGTTCAATTAATGTCTCATTGACGGGTAATTGATTTAATACTTCTAATGCAAGTTGGTGTGTTCCAATTAATGTATGGTCATTTAATAACATACTAAATGACATTGCTAAATTAGTCTTTGGATTCATTAATAAATCACTGTATTCAATAGGTACAGTTTGAAGCATTTGATAGATAAAACTTAATAATAAATTGATAATCGAAGTACAATCACCAATGGGTTTCGTTTGAAGTGGATAGAGATACATTGCTGGGTTTACTTTGAGTAGTAATTGCACAAATGGTGGACGGGTTATTCCGTCATGTAAAAATTGATATCCTCTATTAATATCTGTTGGTGATCCATGAATTAATTCATTGACTTTCTTAATAAGTCCAAGTTCTTTATCTGATAATGGTTCTAACACAAATTGTTTTACATTAGATGCAATTTCAAGTGAGTCTAAATCCATTTTATTAAATGTTTTTATCAAAGTTCCATTTCAAGTTCGTTCAGAGTGTAAAACAATTTTATGTACTTCAAATATAACAAAAATAATTATTTGTGTTATTTATGTCTTTATTTATTTCCGTTTTGAGAATCACATGAATGTTTCTTTCTTTC